CTTTGTGAACCTCCATGCTCCGTTAGAGGCTCTGGCTGTTGCGTTGTCGGCGGTTGTCTGCGGTTGTCTGCGGTGGTCGCCAGTCCATTGCGATTAGAGTATTCACTTGTTTCTTGACGTGCAGAATTCGTGGCAGGCCGAGCACTTTGTGAACCTCCATGCGCAGAATTCGTGGCAGGCGCAGCACTTTATGAACCTCCATGCTCCGTTAGATGCTCTGGCTTGTTGCGTTGTCAGCGGTTGTCTGCGGTTGTCTGCAGTGGTCGCCGGTCCGTCCCTCCATTGTGATTAGAGCATTCACTTGTTTCTTGACGCGCAGAATTCGTGGCAGGCGCAGCACTTTGTGAACCTCCATGTGCAGATTTCGTGGCAGGCACAGCGCTTTGTGAACCTCCATGTGCAGATTTCGTGGCAGGCGCAGCACTTTGTGAACCTCCATGTGCAGATTTCGTGGCAGGCGCAGCACTTTGTGAAGCTCCATGCGCAGATTTCGTGGCAGGCACAGCACTTTGTGAACCTCCAGGGGTTTTACTTCGGCTAGTTGTGGCTGTACACACATGTCTGCGCAATACCTCGTACATCCGCCGTGCACATTACTCTCCCACACCTCTCTCCCACCCCTCTGTTGTGTAATTCTGATATAATAATTCCTGACAAGGCCATGTTGTAGAAGCTATTGAGACTCTGACTGCTTTGTGCTTTAGAAACTTAAGATTCGTAAAGATTCCGAGGGGTTTTCCGGTCCTTTAATTGGTGAGTGTATCGTTTTTGAGCAAACATGCATTTTGAACTCGCATGACCACTCACTGACTACTCGTCACTTTCACTAATTTTGAGCCTAGCTCATATACTTCCACTGTAGAGTTGGTCGGCGGCCGACTAGGGTGAGAAAGGCCTCGGTTGGGTGTATGTGGAGCTTTGCATCAAGGATTGGTAAGTATGAGTCATCAGTCCATCCCAACATCCAACCCATTTGAGGGTCGAGCGACACATGTGTACTCACATGGAGGATTTACTGCCAAGTCACTGCCACCACTGCTGGTCGCTCCTGTGCGACTTGTGGATGTCTTCTTGTCGTCATTGCCTCGAGAAAATTAACCGATTGCATTTGTAAATGTAATACATACATCCATGCATATATATATATATACTGTATATATGACTTCAATATGTGTTTGTTTTTGCTATATGCGTTATCATTTGTTACTTTTTGTATGTCAAGGAATCGACGTCCCAAGTTTGGACTCAGGCCCCAAACCCATTCGGCGTTTCACCGTCTGGATCAGCTTCATGACTCAAACCTTGCAAGACCCGGGCGACTGGGCAGACTGGTCCATGCTCCGACCCAACTAAAAGCACAAAATGTTGGTTGGTCCACCGTTCGGTTCGTGCCACGTGCATGATGAATCATTGATGATGATTGCACATTTCACGACAAACGCGAGCAAGGACGCTACTAGGGCTCCTGGCCTTACTACTAGGAGCAAGGACCCTACTAGGAGCAAAGGGCATCGCTACTAGGAACAAGGACGCTACGAACGGGGCTGGGATTCTGGCAGCAATGATTGCTTCTCTCTCTTTCTATTTCCTCGACTTCCGACTCACTCGCCTAAATCACCTGGCATTGCAGAGCTCAGTGTCACAAAGCAGTGATACGAGGCAGTGTCAGGATGCTCAAATTGGAACCCTTGAAAAATTGGTGGGTGTGGACGAACCCTTGCATCAAAGCAGTTTACAGTCACCTTGTGGCATGCGTTCCCAAGCCTTCCCTCATCATTACCCCTTGCCCACATCGATGTAAACATAAATATGTATGTATAAATGCCATTGTGGTCGCGTGGAGAAGCTTTTTCACCGATAAATAGATACACGTCACTACACAGTATTTTAAACTCGGGTGCGCGCGCGCCCCTACAGTTTACAGTCTCAGTTTGTTTCAAGAGCATTGGCGGACCCAGTTTTCCCTGGAAAAAATTTTTTGAAAAAATAAATCTGTCCAGGAAATCTGTCTGCACAATGTGTCGTAAGTGTCTCTGTCTCTGTGTCGTCAGGGTTCAATGTGTCGTCGGCGAATGTGTCTTCGGAATGTGTCGTCAGCGTCTCTGTGTCGTCAGGGTTCAAGGTGTCGTCGGCAAATGTGTCTTCGGAATGTGTCGTCAGTGTCTGTGTGCTGTTCTCAGCGTGCTTGTCGCCAGACCTTGCTGGTGGGAGGAGGAATGTGTCTTCGGAATGTGTCGTCAGCGTCAGGTCCAAAGTAGCACCCCCTTCTGCGGCTACCCTGATAAATGCTGTGATATGATTCTGCATAGGTTCTGGCAAAGTTGTCTTGCGCTTGACATCAAAAGAGGACAAAAGTGAAGAAACGGGCCTCCGGAACAGCCTTCGTCGTATTTGCTGCTCCCGGACATGGGTCTGAGCCAAACAGTTCAGCAAATCTGGTCCTGGCAGATCCTGGCAGATCCTGACGGTTGCAACTTGGTCGATCCATCAAGCTGGATCAAATTGCGCTCGGCCTTTTTTGGAAGCTCTGCCTTTTTCCGCCGAGTCTCACCAAGTGGTGAAATGGGAAACAAGGCAAAACGCACAAACTCTCTCTCTCTCTTTCTAGTTGCTTGTCTAAATACAAGTCAAGAACAGTCCTTCGTTTGCTACGGCCAAGGACCCATCTCAGTGTGCGTTGCTAACACTGCCGCCTAAATATTAGCTAGCAAAAAATAGATTTCCAAGGGCTACGAGGCCTTTTGCCATCGAACAGCCTTTGGCATAGACACTGCGTCAACCTGGCCATGTCACTCTGTGCAACTGATCCACACGGTCCTAGTTGCACAAGCTAATAACTAGTAATTACCCTAGTCTCGGATCTTCCAGCAACTTCCAGGTGTTGTGTTCTGGTGTCGACGATTAGACTGCTTCACCCGCAAGTCATGCCCCCCTTTTACGATCTCACTTTGGCAGCTAAACAGCACCAGCTTCATGGTCATTTGAAGTCATTTGGGTCATGGGGCATGCCGCAGCCCGAACCACACCTCCAACATAACCTGGACTCTATCTCCAGGCTCCAGGCCATCCTGCATGCATGGAGTAACAAATCAAACGTGAACACGCTTTGCCGAAATGCCCAGTCAAAAAATGGCAGAATCAAGCAATTGTTCAGCCAAACCTAGCCATCGAATTTCAAGGTTGCCAGTCTTCACCTGTCTGACATGGTGTAACCTCGCCTGCAGGCACCAGTAGCTGCGTCCACCACGGCTATCAGGACCGAGCACTACGTGGCCGTTTCTCCGAAAGTCGGCCTCTCGCGGTGCCGCAGCGCATGGTCTCACGAACCGGTCACAGTCGGCCTCGTAGCTGTTGGGGTAAACAGCCGCTAACCAGTTGCCATTCAGCAAAATCTGGAAGAATTCCATGCCACTTTGCCCCACCTCAAACTTCGAGTTTCGGCTCGCTCTTCCGGTTAGCAAATCTTTGCATGATGCACTCCCCAACAAGAAACGAAATCCAGCGCACCAACCTGCACCTCAGCCAGCCAAGTAGATTTAGCCTCAACGCAAGGGAAAGCTCAAGTGCTACACAGGAAGCGTTCCGAAGTGTGGTCTAGCCTGCATAAGTTCTTTGCATTGATACACAAGCTTAGATATATATATATAGATATAGATATATATATATATAGTTGTGTATATACATCAAATGGAGTCAGCCAACTGGATACACACACGTGTTTTTTTACTCAAACATAAACCTTCATCGCAGAAGCTCCAAAAGTGCAAAAGGAGTGCATTGTTCCAACAAGGAATACTATGGAATATATACCCACCATCAACCTAACATAGGGTTCCGCCGATGATGTGGATCATATGGAATGGTTTATATACAAAACACATAGTTCAAATCCCTGCGGCAAACTGAACATGTACTGTATTTGGAAAGTTTGAAGCCTTCTTCTGCGAAAATGTCAAAAGCTCTCAAAGTGCATCCGCTCAACCGGGAAAAAGCTGCTCAAACGGCATCCACGCCTGGTCAAAGGTCATGGAATCCTTGGAGACAAAGCTGCTCCAAGAGCCAACCTTGTTCGGACGTATCGCATGTGTTGGCCCTTGCTGCCCAGAGTATTCACAGGCAACATTCAAAACATCTTGGTTTGCAAAGCAGCACAAGTCTCCTTTGCCTCTACCTGGGGCGCAAGCAATGCAATAGCTGTGTTGCAAAGCCAGCTCCTGAAAGAACATTGTGATTTATTTGTTGGCCCTTTCACCGAGTCTCAAAAAGCTCGCGAGACGATCACAGACTGCATCACTGCACCACTGGTCGTGCTGAAATTCATCCCGCACGCCTGGCTGGGACTGGCTGACGGCGGCTGGAGGCTCCAACTCACAGACCTGATGCAGCACTGTGTCCAAGCTTGCCAGCAATCTGTCCTTGCACTACAAAAAGGATTCCAACAAAAAGTTCTGCAATTCATATGATCTCATGCCGATAGCTCCCAGACTGGTGGTGGGTTGCCTCCAGTGTCCTAACTTGCCTTCCCCCGAGTTGCAGAGGTTTGAGACACATCACATCATCATGTCAGATCATGCCAAGCCACTTGTCGTCGACGCCGCTAGAAGGTAGGGTTCTCCTGAAGTGGATCCGGAAAACATCGCCAGCCTGGAGAGAACCAGTGAATTCAAGCCAGCATCTACAGATTTCAGAAAGTCATCAAAAATCAAAGAAGGCTTGAGACCGGCGAAAGCTGGTGAAGTTGAGAGGCCCAGGCAACTCCAACATTTGAAGGTTGAGGCAACGTAGAAGCTGTCAAACACAACATCAAATACGCTTTTGGGTTGCAACTGTGTGGAGCTGGGTAAGACCATTTAAGACAGGGTCGTTTCAGTTTCATGAATTGATCGATTGTGGGTGTCCAGTTCGCTTTCAAATCGCAAGACTGAGACTCCTGCCAAGATCAGAACATGACATAAGAAGTTAAGTTTCCAAAAAAATCTAGGAACCAACTGAATAGTGCGAGCGCTTCAAGGAAGCTCCCCCCCGCCCTCAGGCGGGGGGAGCTTCCTTGAAGAAGCGTGAGCTATCCTGCATCCATATGTAGTAGCGTCCTGTACCTACTAGCTACCTCAGTTCCTGACTTAATTAAGTAGGTAGTCTCTAGTAGCTACCTCTAGCGGCCTACCCCCCTAAAAAGAGGAAAATCATGTCCAGACCGCCTTGCCAGGTAGACGCCAGCCCTTTGCCACGCCGTAGCCATCAGGACCCCTAAGGTTTTGGGTGTCAGCCTCGACAGGCAACAATGAGTCCGATTCCAACTGAACGGTAAACGTGCAAAGTGCCTTCAAAAGACACGAGAACGGTGTGGATTTAAAGGACAGTCAAACTGTCTATCTGACTCCATCTCAGTATTGCTGGTTTGATGTGGGTTCGTACCACTTCTATAGATCACCGAAACTTGAACTGCAGTTGTCCGAACTTGAAAAAAATCTTCGTGTGTCCATCGTCAAGCCCTGCAGAGCCTGAGGGTAAAATGCCTGGTCCCAGTCCTTGTTCCTCACGACCTGTCCACAGAAAGCGATGCAGTCAACTCTGTTAACTTGAATCTTCGGAGTGTACCCAGCACTCAAACAAAAGTTCATCCCGGCAACAGACCCCAGAGAGTGCTCAGTACAACAAAACAAGGATGAATAAGCGGACTTCCGCACTCTAGAGACTCTAGAGCATACAAATGAGAGCACACATGCGAGCAAACGCATGAAAGCAAACTAATATTGGGGTTTCCTTTGGGTCCTTGCAGCGGAAACTACAGTACCATCTCGCTTGTACTTGCTTCACCTGAACCACTTCATCAACCCGTCTCGGCCAGTGGGCCGGACCAGTGGCAATTGTGGAATGTCCCGGTGTTTAAATGGCAGCGGCGCTCCCGGTGGGAGCTTGGAAGTGGACGCCTGCTGTGGTTCAGGGGGGTATGACACCTTGGAGGCAACACGTGTGGTGATGCTGGTTTGGCTAGGAAAGCCTCCAAGTCTTTACTTTTCCAACTCTTTGGGCCTCCTGAAACCTTCCCCGCGAGTTTTTTGCGGAACCTCTCGTTGTGCGAGCAGTTTGGTTTGTTTGACCGATTCGTCGTTCTCGTCGAACGGCAATGTTTTTCAGGAACTTTGCCCACAGTGCTGCTGTGTACTCCTTCTAAATCAACTGATCTGAAACATGTTTTTGCAATTTGCCAGCTGATCAGCAGCACGCAGTCTAGTCTTTCTGCCTTCGGAATTTCGGGCCCTTCGAGTCAAATGCCTAAGGTCGATTTAACCTACCAGAAAGCCGGCAAGTTGGTCACAAGTCACCATTCGTCGCGTTTTGATATAAGGCCAGGTTTGATCCTTCCGTCTCCATTCAGCTGCGCATCATCTTCACTGACGCCACTCCCACATCCGCCGCACATTTGGGGTTGGCTCTGGCCACACCGTAAGGGGCATGATTCCGGGCAAGTTCTTCAGGTCCTTCAGTTAGCTCACGATTGCGCACCTGCCACGAAATCAGAGCACGCCAAAGACCACCACCAGCTCCCAATCGAAATCTGCACGTTGAAGTAAAGCGGCTCCGATCCCCTGCTAACTACCACTCAGAGTCAACTTCAGACCACGAAAACACGAGGGTTCCCTTACGCCTGCCACGAAAAGTGAAAATGTGCACTATGTGCACAGCACCACAACGAGAGCGCAGTCGAGGAGAGCACCCGCTCGGGCCTAGCAGTTTGCGCAAGCCTGAGCAGTCGAAATGCACTTCGAAGATCTGGAGAGGCATGAATGTGCTGTGACTGGCAGTGAAGTAGCCGTCCACGCTGGTGAGCACCCTCGATCAAACCCAGACTCCGCAAGAACCCCTGGTCTGGCCACACTGTTCGGGAATAATGAATCCCAATGGCTTGAGGCCCCCTTTGTCAACTCCTTCAGTGGCACGCCTGGAACACATCCTCACTGCTCCGCAGCTTCACCTGGCATGTTACGCCAAAAACACTTTGGACTGCCCATGTCACAACACATTGGCACATACCTATATATATATATGTGTGTGTGTAAATACGTGTGTGTGTGTATACAATATATATATACAGTATATAAGCCAGCATAAACCTGTCTGATCTTTCGTCTCCTTGTAATCCCTCCAACGCCTCGGTGAAGAAACTGCGCGCTTTGCTGCCAGCTGAGGCCTCCTCCTGGTGGTTTCATGAAGCCTAAACCTGCCCTTGAATCACTGGCCAAGAGCCTATCTGGGTAGTAACTGGATCCCGCAACCTGTAGCTGACACACTTGCACTCCGATTTGTTCAAAGCAATCCTCCTGCATAGGCTGGAACTCCCAAAAGTTGAAGTCTCCAGCAATGTAGTAGGATGAAGCTCGCAAAGCCTGACAGAGAACTTTCTTTTCGCAGCTCGGTAAGGAAGAGGGAGCTGAGAGGATGCACTCTGATCTACTTGCACCGATTTTACCCTTGTCCTCTCAACTGCCACAATCATTGTCGAAGCCTGTGGCACTGTCGTGGTCAGCTTTCGCCATTCCACTCGTCGATATTTGCCTTGGTCGTGTGCAGTTCACAGCAAAGTGGCGGTGTCACTGGGGCTTAACCACAGCAGTATGGCGAGGGAAAGAAGATACAAAAAATGACAAAAACATGTGCCGACGAGAACTACCATTTAAAGGAGGAACATACACACGCTGCACGCTTATCTTCTTTTGTTTTACTATATCTTTTTGGACTTGCATAGTTCGGCTCTTCTTCTTTGACTTTGACCAGTTATATAATGACGTTGATAAGGCACAGAGTTGGCAAGTCAATAACTTCTCAGAATTTCTCAAAAGAATCAAAACAAATCACATTTGTGATTCGTCCTGAATAAGTCAAAGAAGAACTGCTCGAAAAGCAACCCGGCCATGCCACTCAAACGTTTCATTTCAAACCACTTCAAGCCTGTCAATCTGAGTACCAAGGCCACCAAGGCGGAGCAACACCCGGTACCCTGGCTGTCATCGTCGGTTCTGTTTGAAACGAAAGAAGAAAGTCAAAGAAGGCAAGCACTGGCTAAGGCGGCTAAGGCATGCATCTTCTTGGGGTTCCAGTGGTGAAAACGGCGACACTGGCCAAGAAAACCCTGCAGGCGTTGCGATCTCCCGGCATTCCCAACAGCTGTTCGTCTTGGTCCACAACCTCAGGCATGCATACAATGTGCCAAACATGCTTCAAACAGGAACACAAGTTCTTGTGCGCCATCTATACGGGTATGAGAACTTACCCAGAAACCAAGCATTGGACAGGGGATAATGGATGGCGTTTGTTTTTTTGAGAGGTCAGACATGCTTCCACTCACGAATGGCTCATAAGCACATGTCACATGTGGGAAACAAAGACATATTCAATGCAAACATGTTACCACATAAAGGGGGGAAAAAGAGTTTGAAGATTGGGATGTGGAACGTGAGGCCATGTCTATAGTAGATGGCGCCCCTAATTGGCACTTTGGTTTATGGTGTATCAAAGTGGCGCTTGCGCCATCTACTGTGTAGCCTGCGCATGTGCCATCTACCGCTCGCTCCCTGTGCCATGCACCTGGGGAAAAGTGTATAAGTTATGCTGCAGGTGGGAAGTGATCGAATCGTCCTTCCGCTGGAAGTTTGCTGCAATCTTCATGATAAAAGGCCAGAAAACCCAGCAAGAGAAACTCTTAACTGTTCAAATTGCTGTAGACCCAGGACTTGAATGGAGTTTTGATCAAGAAGCAAACCAGCAAACCATCGACTTTGTCAGGCCAAATTCTGTGCTACAACGGAAATTGATCAAGTTCATATGATGTATCAAGAATAACATCCTTCACTACTTTTCTCGCACCACGTTCTACACGCTCGTGCTTCAGGGTACTCCTGAATATCCGACACATCAATGAAGGAGCAATGCACTTTGGAGCGATAGGTTCTCCAATGTTTGCCTAGCCACCGGAATCTCACCGCCCTCAGGCATGTAATCGCCTCTCAAAATGGAGAAGCACATGCTTTTGCAACTGTTGGATACAGTCAAGGCATTTGTAGAGGCGATCTGTTCATCCAGCACCGCTGATTTGTACCCTCGCAGAAAAGCAATTTCGGCCTGGGAAGGCCGTAAGCATTCGGATTTCAACGTCACCAGCGTAGGAGAGCATCTCCTGCAGTTTGGCGAACTGTGTCTAAGACCATAATTGTCTAAGACCATTCGTCCACATGTGACCAAATACACACCACATGTATCCAAAGACAACTTCACAAGGTGATTCTGTGTCCATGATCCCATCCTCAGCGCAAGTGCCCACGCCCATTTCTTGTGCCTGATCTTCATTGAGGAGCCGCACCTCGCTGCATCAGCTACAACTCAGGCGCTGCTGTATCTTGCCTAAAACAGCAATACATGTATATTCAATGTCTGACATGGGAAGAATCTAGAGGATATCTTGTCTTAATAAACCACAGCACATCACTACTGAGCGTTCACCAATATCGTACAAAAAATGTGTACCTTTGTAGGCTTCCCGGAAATTCTCCAGGTGGCGTAGCGGCCACAAACGGCCTCTCAAGGGAAGCGCTGCAGTTGAGAAGGTTCTGTGCCAGCTGAAAGTTCTGCTTGTTGCTTGCGCTTCTTTCTAGGCAAATGTCGAATTTGTGCCTGACGGGATGGCCCCAGCACTGATGCTTCCATGTCAGCCCAATGGGAACCCGGATGCAGCACCTGGCCAAACAGTTGCATTACAACATATTACAACTAGGTCTGGATTGGTCCACCTTGGCTTGCTTTCTCCTCATCCCATAGCTGACTTGTCTTGTACAACCTGTGCATACCCACCTTGTCTGGATCACCATCTTCCCAAATCTGGAAGGTCTCCCAACGGTTCTCACCTGAGCAAAGACAATACAGCAGTCACACTGTCACGCTGTTTCCGTTGCACGTGTTGTGGAAGCCTTTCACTTGCCATGCTGCCATGCGGAAGAGGACAAAAACACTGAAAGAACAAAAGAATACCCACCTAAAACCATGGTGAAGCCGTAGACTCCCTTGGATTCTACCTGAAAATGGTGCTGAATGCGTCATCTGAATCTGCAGTGAGCAGAGTTGTTGCAGTCTTCCATGGTCGCCATGGCCTTGCCTCCATCTTCAGGGGCTCCTCCCAGCAGTTGAAGCTGCCAATGACGTGGTAGCTGGTCTGCAACAGAAATGATGGAAGCGGAAGCATCTGGAAATCTGGAATGCAGTGTTGACATATTATGTAATACAATATACAGTATATATATATACATAAAATATATCATATACACGCACCTGGAGTGAGTTGAATCATTTGCTTGTCTTGCAAAGTAGACCTACTCCTCAAATTGTTGGATCAATGCCTTGGAGCGGCCAAAGGATTTCGGCCTCGCCTCTGTGGTCTCCGGAAGTGTCGCTGGAAACCAGCGCAGCTCGGTTCCTAGCTTTCTTGGAATGGTGGAAGAATCTCACTGGATTGAAGCGGACAATACCCATCGCACACCCAGTCCAAAGCAACCTCCCAACCTCGACTGCGCAACTGCCTGCTTTTGCCTCAATGATCTCGCTGGTATCTTCCAGGCTATCTCGTGAGTCGCCCTCTTGCGATCAAGGCTTAGCCGTCTTAGCCTGTCCCATGCTGTTGCCATGCTGTTTGCGCTCACACCGTAGGTCGGTTGTGCCCTGGCTTTGTCGGTGGACCCAAATCCGTGCAGGGCCAGTTCAGGGATGCTTCGGTGCTCCCTATTTCGAGGTGGGAGTTGGGCACACAAGCTGTGTTCACGCGTCCTAGCTAGCCAAGAAATTGACTCTTGACCAGGCCTGGAAATGCGGCTTCGAGTACGCTGAGGCAATCAACAATTTCACCCGAGAAGTGACGCCTGATAATATGCTTGTACGGTGGCAAGTTTGTGCATTCCAGCATGATGGCACCGATATCAGGATAGCATGTCAAGGCAGTCTGTATCAACTTGTCCATGTCCGCTTCAGCACATTCCAATTCCAGATGATCCAAATCTTTTGATATGACTTGATACAAATGCATAGACTTTTCCAAGCCCACAACTGGCCCTGTGAACCCATCTAGAGCAAAGCGATATGCAGGGGCACCCAAAATGTCAGCGTCAAAAGTTATCACCATGATTTCAACGTCTTGGAAGCGTGCCCGCAGCTTGGGCAAAGCAACTAAGGCTGAGCTAATAAAAGTTTTCTGTGTTAGTTCTGAGAGCATCTTCTGGAAATAAACCATGAAACCACAAGAAGTGCTGATGATCTCCGCATCTGCCTTTGCCAGTGCAGATGCAAACCTTGAGATGTCCAATGCTTCCGGGTCAAGGCTAACCACATCAGCCACGTGGGCCCGGTCTATCACTTCAATGTGGATGGGCAGCAAGTAGGTCTCTTTGCAAGCGATATCCCCAGGAATGCGAGGGAATTGTGTGTCTAGCTGTAGAACGACGAGCGCATTTGCCATAGCTGACCGACTGGCCGAGCAAAAATCATCATACTTGGCAAAAGTGCCTCTGGCGGTCGGAGATGTGGTTTTGGCATAGCGATAACGTTGCAAATGTATCAGCTTTGGCTTTAGTGCTACTGAAAAGTCCTATCAATCTTTGGGTTGACAATGCACTGCAAAAAACTGCATCGTGGATCTCTGTATACTGGGAGCATCACCTTTCTGCAAAGTGTCCTGTCAACAATTCTGGCGTGCTTGCTTAGCATAAATGACGAATCTCAAGAGCCCTATGAATCTGCCAGGGAAAAGACAACATGCTGTAACTTAGCCAGCTCTGCTCGCTGTCCTTCTCTACATGTCTTTTACCATGAGCGGTATCAAATCTAAAAAAACTGAAGAGTTAAACGGCCTTCACTTTGAGTACTTGTGGTGTAAAGGTTCTCATGGGCATTACCAGTGTATTCAGCAAACAAAAAAAGTTGATAATCCTGAGAAGAGTACTGCCCTCTGGTCCTGTGGTTGAGGGCTACTGCCCATCAGGACCATCTGAACATTAGTACCGCTGTTGCCAAACCTGGCAGCAAAAGTCAGGGAAAGCATGAGAATCCAGCAACTCATCGGAAAACAGTGTCCTACGTTATCGTGTCAGAATCTCTTGCTTCTTGTTAGGCGCACGAAGAGATGCCCAGAGTCTGCTGTAGAGAGGAGGAAGGTAAGGCCTGACACTCAAGCCGCGACGCTCAGTTTGTAGAGGCGCTTCACTCCCTGGATCAAAAAACTTATCTCACGCATGGTGATCCCTTTTGAAAAAACTGCATCCGTCAATTTAGATCCACCTTGGTGATCCCTTGTTTCTCACGCTCTGCAAGTAGTGCCTTTTTGGTCGAATGCATCTGATGAGTTGGAGTCGGCCGAAATTGAAAACCACCATGAAAAGTCCGATTGGGCACGCCAGTTTCAGCGCACATGTGAGACATGCACCCTGTGGTGCCAACCTGCATCTTTGCACAGGCATCCATGTCATCAGAGAAAGCTGGTCAAACGCATCACTTGAGTCAGTTGAGCTTGAACCTGACCGGCAAATGGATTGAGCATGGTTTCGCACTATTTCTCGTTCCAGTTGAGAGAAAACGACTGTGACTACCAGTTTCCAAGAACTTCCTCTGAAGGTGTGCATGAGGGTTGCCCTTGGCTACAGTCTGTGCAGGATACAGGTAATTGGGTAAACATTGTTGTATGTCAGAAATCCTTATTGTATGCCAGGCCCCCAGACGCATCTCTTGTGTCCGCCACAATCTCTTCAGCTTCCTCTTCAGAGTTCTCATCTTTAGCCTGATTGAGAGTGAAAAAGCTATGCCACGAACATCGACACTCCACAAGGTCTGATAAGTCCGGATTCAGTCTCAAAGTAATGGCCTCTTTCACTGTGAGCAATGCAATGGCCCCTGCTCGCACCTGGACCGTAGAAATGCAACTTCCCAAAGGAATGAAAAAATCATACCAAAAATGAAGAAGAACAAGGTAGCGGCACATAAGTGCTACGTGACAGCTTGTCGCATGCCACGCAAAGATGTTCGATAATCACCAAGTGGATTTTTGGACATTGACTCTTTCAACACGATCTCGCATTGCTGCAATCCCAACTCCATGGGTCTTTGTTTCTCCTTTCATTAGGAACTTGCCGTGACAGGACTCACTTTAACATACTTTAACTGCCAACGGTGTTAGTCTTCTTGACTCTGCCAAATGATTGTGTGACGCTCCCAAGGAGCCAGGCGACGACCAGGTGGACCTTCTACGCCCGACCACTCCGGACTCCTTTCTATTTTGGTCGCTTTGCTGTACTGGGGATTGAGTTGCCTCTGAAGGTGATCAAGAATAAGCTGCGTGTTCAAACACATCCGAACTGTGTGCATGATTGGTACTCTGACTGCCATGACATGGACCATGTTTGGACAAATGGATCCGTCCAACTCAACACTCATGCTTGGTTGACGATTGCAAGCTTTGCTGTGATCCGAGCTGATGAAACTGCGTTCCAGGTTGGTCGGGTATCTCATTGGAGACGTTCTAGCTATACAGCCGAACTGTGGGCGGCCATTGTTGCTTTTGCTTCCTACAAACATCTACAAACCCTTGATTGTGCACATGGACTCCTTGACTGTCCGTGAGTTCCAGCAGCTTCTTGACACCAATTCTGTTGATTTGGAATGGACGCATGCCAACTGGTGGGCGAATTTTGTTTCACACTACTCAACAACGTAAAGCCTTTCATGATGCACCTCTTCGCTTACTCTGGTGGCCCTGCACACAACCTTGAGCTCTTGCAACCGCATGAAATCAGTGAAGAGATGGCTGACAAGGTTGGTTCTTCAAGGTGTGATATTCTTTTGAACAGGCCTGCTGATCAGCATGCCAAAGATCTTATTTTGAGTGATGCCAAAAGATCAAAATTGACTTTGAACAGAAGAAGGAAGATGTCTTTCGTCAGCAGCTCTGTTTTGAAAAACTCAATCAAATCTGCAAGAAACCGGTTTGAAGCAAGGCTGTTCCCGATGACTCTGAAGAAGTTGCCACTAGGATGACCCCATGCCAGCTTTGTCCTATGTGGCCATGGGATAGCAACCCTTCGCATTATACTTGGAGTGTTTCCCTTGACCCTGACCCTCCATTCTTCCATTGCGAACAAGGCGATCTTTGTCGATTTCCAATTTTCAAAATTAATTGTCATCTGTACTTCCCTGATCTTCCCTGAGATGGCAGCTTGGTGAAGGGTTTGCTTGCTCTGTGTTTGAGCTTGCAGTTCTGGCTTTTCAGAAAGGCTGGAGATTTGACCTTGACGCTGGAATCATTGCGACTCCCAATGCGTATGTCAAAGTCCTTCAAGATGACTTTGCCTATTTAAGACCAAGGGCGTTGTTGCAGCCCAATTGAACTTGGAGTTCAAGAACAAAAACAACGGGTAGACGTACTCCAAAGGTGTCTTCCCTGGTGCCGAGGTATTTATTGAAAATTCTACGCTTGTCGTGCTTTCTGCAAGGGTGCGAAAAACACCCCTGCTTCTTGGTGTATTCCCTTCAATAGTTTGCTTTAGCCTGGGCAAGTTCGACCTCTGACGCGGAAGCTCAGCGGTCGCCGATGACCCTGCCGTGTCGGCTTGAGAAAAAATAAGGTCCCCTTCAGGCCTGCATGGCCTTGGGACCAAGTTCACCTTCTTTTTCAATATCTTTTTCCAAACAGGCTGCATGGCCTGGCCCCAATTATACAGCGCCTCTCCACCAACGGGCTGCATGGTCGAGTCCACATCCACTTCGTCTGCAATCTCCCAAAGCTGCATTTCCTTGGGTTAGTTAAATTGACTATTTATCTCCCCAAATAACGGGGGCACGGCACACCACTCAATTACTACGGCATTGTTCCTGAGCTCCAATCACATATATATATATATGTATATAACTTCATCATGCAAGGGAAGCGCTACTGTATGTATATATATATATATACATCCAAAGGTTTTAAACAAATAGTCATAGGCCCCTGAGAAGCATGACCAAAATGCCTAGAATTCAACTAATTGCTTAAATAGATATAAAGTGGGGAAAGGTGAGGACCCTGTAGAAACCATGAAGACCCTGAAAGCCGTGCACAGCATCTATCCTTCCTCCGAATGACGCCGTCCCAAGCACTGGAGAGCGCCACTCCAAGGTCCCAGTCAACGCACAGGCTGCGCAGCCCAGTCAAATGGCCGGAGACAATCCTGACAGAAATCATGAACTTGTTTGACAGGGCAGTACTTCATACGAGCACAGTAAAAACTGATAACATTCTGTTGTTTTTTAAGGCCGCTCCCCCCTCCCAACTTAATGAAGTAGGCGCCTACTTAGCTAAGTAAGGAAATGAGGTAGCTACTAGCTGCAAGTAGGCTACTACCAACAGGACGCAGGATAGCTCGCGCTAATGATTTGATTCCTAGATGTTGACACTATTGAGTCACCGTTGCGGCCCAAAGTAAGCCAAGTCTACAGAAAGCCAACACAGAAGCCGAGACAACAGAGGTGCCTGATGCATTCAGACCTTTGGATATTCCAAAGTCTCACTGATTTGTCCTGCGAACCTTGAATGAAAGTGCACAAGAGTGTGAGAGCGGTCTCCGCGCATTGCTCAATTGTGTTTGTATGAAAGCTCTTTTAAAAACTCACAAATGTCAAAAGTTCGGTAGACTTCCTTCAAACTATCATCTGTGCTAAAAAATTGCCTTCCCTTGTCTAGCAGCCAGAGATAGCTCGTTTCAGCTTCCATTGCACCGAGAGGGCAGTGATGGTGCCCTTGTGGCCTTATTTGCACCACATGCACAAATAGCTGGAATCACCAAAGTTGCGCAAACGTTGATGGCTTTGTTTTTCCACTGTATTTTGTAAATTGATTTCTTGACTGCGCCCCGTCGCCCTTCAACGAGGATTGAGAGGCTGCCATGGGGAGGCCCCAAATCCTTGGCCACAAGCAACTATGGAATCTAAGTCTGTGCTGAAACACCTTCAATCCATGCATTTAAAGAACCCGGAAAGAACCAGTCACGGAGAAAAACACCAAAAAAGTTCACCAGCACGTCTGCCTGCCTTCCAGCTGAGGTTCTGTAAAACTCCATTGTCAAAGCCAATAAGGGCACGAGCCTTGGGCCAACAAACGTCGATCACTGTCACCAAATAGTGCCTTGAGCAAATTGAGCATTCAGTGATACAGTACCAGCACAAGGAGTCACATGGAACGCTGTCAGGGCTAAATGCCAGCTCATATACATCTATAAATATATTTTATGTATGTATGTGTTTGCGTGTTTGCACACTAGACTCCGACCTCAATCAACGGTAGGCCTCAAATGACCCATTCACAGGAGTGTCTTCATCTGAGGCATGCTGCTGCACCGACATGCTTGTTTCAAGTCGCTTGACAGGGTAGGCTTTCAACCTGCTTCCATCCTTCAAGCTCAACAGGTCCAGATCGTTGTCCTTGTAAGAGCATGCGTCAAAAGATGCATGATGGGAAAGACCAAGTTCTGCACCAAGTTTCTCCATGGCCAACAAGCATTCTCATCTTGGTCCAGTCTGCACAAATTGAAAAAATCATGCCCACCTTACCTGAGTTGTCATTGATGCGGCTCTCCCATTGTCTATCATAGATCTTCGTAGGGTAGAAAGGCTATGCCGGCTATGCCCTTTTTGTTGCCTTCCCATAGCCCTGTGAAAACCAATGATACAGCTGAGCTACAGGATAGAACCTTCTGAGACTGGTGCGTCGCCAAGTCCCAGATTACAAAATAGCCTTGCAGAAGCTCAGTCCAATCAGACGTTTTTGAAGATGTTTGATTCTCTGATGAATGCACTCTTCAAGATTCGGGTTCTACAAACATGAACAGATAGCGTCAAGAAGAATTCAACCATTCTTGCGTTGCAAGCCACCATCGTCGTTCCCAGAGACTGCCAACCTCTTTTCATTCCAATCCGCTGTCAGGCTTCGAACGCAGGTTATTAAAAGCTCCTGCACTCTGCTGGCAAAGCATGCGGCTGAACATCTGTTTTGTATACACATGAAACAAATAAACACCAGCTCCGCCGGTCAAGGCCGAGTTCAATACGTCCAAAAAGAGACTTTTTGTCGAATGTGCATGAGACTTGTGGCCTTGTGGCTACTTCCTCACCGAGGCCTGCCTCAGTTTCCTTTTTTTAAGCCGCTGGAAGAGGTAAGCTAATTAGTAGGACCCTACTACCTAGGACGCAGGATAGCTCACCGCCTGAGGGCGGGGGAGAGCTTATTCATGTGGTTCCAAGATGTTTATGAAAACTTTGCTACTAAGAATGCATTATCGAAACAATTTCTGCCAAATGTCGACTGCTAGGCTTCGCATCGACTCCACTAGTCTGTCTAGGTAATGAAACTGACTCGACAAGCTGTCCTCTGGAGGAGTTAACTCCACACCGCTTCCATCCTCCAGATTCCAGTGAAAAATCGTGCCATCCTCGACCAAAATGGCTGAAAGTGTCACGACATGAAATCGGTGACAGGACGTGTGCATCTTTCGTTGCATTCTTAGTCCAACAATCGAGCTAGGGCTTAGGGCTTTCTACATCCCTTTTTGGAGGGGTGTATTGTATGGTCATTGTTATGTACAAAAATATACAAAAATAGGGAGCCGTGAACACTGGACATCTACTTTGGTTTTCCAACGATTCTAAGGGTTGGAAAAATTGAATCTTACAGAGAGAGAGAGAGAAAAGAAAAGAAAGAAAAACTTGCATCAAGCGTAGTAGACATCAAGACCAGACTATTGATAGTGGCCTGAACGGTTTTCTACAGCTACGGAGGAATAGAATAGCAACAGGTCTGCCACTCGTTTTCTACTGAGCAATCCGATTCCCTGCTTCAGTGCTTGGTGCTTCAGCGCAAGAAACCATGTATTCACAAGTGGAACAGAGTCTCTTGTTTTTGCTCAGTGGCTGCTGCGGCACTCACTGCTTCTTTGGGCCAGTGCAAATCTAGGCAAGTAATGTAGTCCTGATGGCAAGGTGATTTTGAGCAAATAGAAACCTCCGCTGTTCGCTGCAGCATCCCAAAAAAAAGAAAGTTATATAATCTCGCCGCTTTGTAGCTGAGCCTAGCTGCTCAAGGAGTCTATAGTGCTCTGCCATGCAAACTGACATATTTTGGTCGTCCTTGTGTCCATCAAAGAGCTTCATCTCATTCCCAGTCGCTAAGTCAATCAGCCTCAGCACTAGGTTTGTCAGGAAAGGACTTGCAACAGCGGTCAGGATTATCAGTATCCCCCGCTAACTTCAAAGCAAGCAACTCATTCAAGAGAAGCGCTAAGGTCCTAGAGTTACATAGAGGCCCAAGCGGTTTCATCTGGAAACGCTGCGAATCCATGTATGCTTCAAGCTGCTGGATTCGGCCATCATCATGGCCTACAAGCGCGTAAGCTTCGCCAACGTTGTCCTTGCCAAAAGGCAAAAAGACCCAATAGGGCTGCTATCACAACCTCAAAAAGGGAACGCGCTGACGACACATGCCTCCTCTGCTTCATCGCTATGTGCTCTGTTGAAGCCTCACAAAATGCCACTTGCACACAAACCAAGTAGAGGAGAGGTACATATTGATTGATTTGTGTCATTCGCATTTTATTATGTGGTTTCAGCTCTGACAAGCTGCCTGCACTGACCCCGCGCTCAAAGGTTCCACTGACTCCTCGCTCAAAGTTGGCTATCTGATCCTTGGCTGCAATCAGTCTGCTTAACAATTTCTCCACTTATTTTGCCCCGGGATGTCCAACAGCGAAACCAAGAAAATTTTAGGCTAATCAAACAAGGTTGCATTGGCATTCCAAAGAATTACCCTATCTAAAGCCAAAAAAATTATCAACGCTTTGCCAGCTGGAAGGCCGGTCAACGCCTTCCAACCGACCCAAACAAGTGTACTTAACAATGAGATCGAAGTGCACCTCATTATGGTCGCTCAGGAACTAGATTGCTTGGCCGCCTGGTGATGGACGCCTGCCTTTGTGTCATTGTTCAGTCGAGATGGGCTATGCAAGCATGGCTGAAGGCAATTGAATGCAAGGAGTCCCATTGCGGGATTGCGAGTCAAATCCATCAAACACAGTCAGGTGCACTGACTAGTATCCATGTGTCTCACACACGGCTGCAACTTGAAGAAATCTTCTCATGTAGCAATGGCATGCGATTGGATAATGTTGGTGCTGAATTGGGTGCCTTAGAAACTTACTTAGTGACTAGTAAGGGTCTTTCTGCTTCATTCGATTCTTCCTCTTGATGTGGTACTAGGATGCCGCCCTGCGGTGAAGGCTTGAGTTCAGAATTGGCAGAGCCAAATGAATGGCAGTTAAAATTTCCACCAAGTGTCTTCCTGGCAAAGGCCCTCCCCATGCTTTGACAAAGAAAAGGTCACTAGTCACTAGTCAGTCATTATTACAAAAGTGGCTCCAAGCAACTCTGGCAACTTTCATCTTCAAAAATCGTGGGGCACCTCCGTTGCGAGGAGCGGAGGCAATTCAACATCCTCTTCTTCGTCCTCTACCTCGCGAAACAATCAAACATCATCAAGCCAAAAGAAGTGTCGCCACTCCACCACTCCAATTATCTAAAAGTCTCTTCACGGTGATCAGTCGGCTTCCCCGCCGCCCCAAGACTGCAAAGCTGGCGAAGATGCAGTTGTGGCCCATGCACGGCCTCGCAAGGTCAAGCGCGACACATGCTTCAACTTCTGGCACGAAACACTCAGCCCTTGATATGACTTCGATGTGGAATTCCAGATGTCCCAGCATCTGCCACATGCTGCTAGCTCAAAAGTTCCTCGGTTTCAAATTCCCGAGTCTGCAATAAGAAAGCCAGGTTTCATGCAAAGGTGTTGTTGTGTTGAGAATTGTTTGGAGAAAGTTTTGAAGCAACTCTTGTGAGCAACTCTTGTGGTCGATCTTTGAGTGACCTCTGTGCATTGTGGACAAAGTTGAACTTGGCGTACAGCAATCACTGTGAGTTTGCAAGAAGTCTACTTGGCCGCAGCCCCCCAAGAAGGCAAATCATGGAAAATTGAACATCGCATTCAGTGAATATCCCTCGACCCTGCAGCCAACACAACTTCCAACACACCCTTTCCCTATGGAACAAATGAACAATATTGATGAATATGCTGAATCATGACACCGTCTTCCTGTCTGCGTTCGTCTCTTGCCGCCTTCTGCACAGTAAGGCAAGCTCTGACCAGGGCGGCCAAACCGCTTGGCCTGGTTTCATCATGCTATTCTGCGCTGTGAAGGAGCCGAGCGAAGCACAAGAGGTACTGAGACTCGCTGAGGCACCAACGGCCCGGACTCTCCAATGACGGACTTGAAGGAGCTGAGCACCTGGCATCCCCCACACACGTTCCCTATGACGATCCCCTCTCCACAGCAAATGGTGAAATGCCTTTCACATCAATGCTTAATTCCCCCGTGTCTGGGGCCAAACAAATCCATTGGTCATTGGTCCATGATTGATCCAGGAGTTTCCAAGCAATCCTCACTCAATGTAAACACTAAAACCAAACACTCCTACTTATACAAGTTCTGATTATGAAATTATTCAAGTGGAGGCCTTGTTCCGCTCACCCCGTTGAAGCGTAGTCCTGCAAAAACAAAAAGAAAGGACAAAACACAAAACACCGTTCCGCTAACCAATCGGAGAAAACAATGCGTCGTAGAGTGGTGCACCATCCGTCAAACATTTGATCGTTCAAACACATTGAAGGTGTCAACTTGCACTATCAGTTCCAAATGGACTCGGTGTCCTTAGAACACCCAACTCGACAGCATCCATCAGAGGGCTCCCACCTGCACTCACCTTGCCAGGTGCCACAAAAAATATGTTGCTGATTGAGATGAACCCTGCGTGCTGGAAAGCAAACATTTTGTCTAGGGACTAGTGACTAGTGTAAATACATGGGTTTCATTGATTCAGAAGCACATGTGAGGTTTCACAATCCAGATTCGCAATCCAACAGCAGGTATCAACTCAATTGACTGAGAGTGCTCAAACACTGCGACTGCAACTATATGTTTTGAGCTTGCTAAAGCTCCCAAACCAAGCCAGAATCAATTCACAATGGAACTAGCTGGGGAGCAGCAGCGGGGAGCAAGAAGAGGAACGGGATTTGGTAGGAATTGAGGAGCACCAAATCAGAACTGCAAACCATGTTGTCGCGGGTCCAAAAACCATGTTGCTAGGCACGCACAAATACCAGCCACACTCTTGTGCATAATCTTTCGCTGCGTAGCAGGGATGGCTTGCACTGAAGACAAACAGCACATAAGACGTGCAAAAGTTGTGCCTGACACAGAAGCGTATTGCTAGGCTAATGTGCTCACAAATGCGTGCTGCGTTGTTGCGCAGGAACCTGAGATAGCGCTGTGTAGAAAGGATGCTTCACAATAGCAACAGGCAGAAAGCACACCACAAGTGCGCGCAACAACAATTGCTGGGACAAAACGGAGTTGCTGTTTACGCACCGGTCGGGCTGGAATGAATGTAACGTTTCCCGCGCTGCGCACAAAGAACGCTCTGCACTGCAGAAACTGCTGCCAGGGACACGAAATCCATTGTGTCCTCCGACGCTGTTGAGCTTACCAGGCCAGAAGCCAGCGATGACGTGTGAAAGCAAACTGGCGGCTGCTAGCGCAAAGTTGAAACGTGCCAATGCCCCAAAAAAAGCCTGCCAAACGCAGCCCGGCTAAGTTGCAAGTTGACCAGCCTACCACGGATCAACACGGAGGAGCTGGCAGCAGGAAGGGAGGCTTTCAGATGACCTGTTTAAGTTGACTGACATGGTTCCCTGCTAGCAGACTGATGGCAAGCCAATCCTGGCTTTATGTCTCATGGTTCGGTTCTGGTCCGCCTGCGAAGTTGGCCCTGCAAAAGAAATCCAAAGCGGAAGTCCGATCACAGCACCTAATAGCGCCCAGATTAGTCCGACAACACAACAGCACTCCGGGTTCCCAAAGTTCAAGGGAATTCCGGCTTTCGGGCGCCGGAGGCAAACTGTGGACCACTCCCGCCTCAGAGGTTGAACCCCTGCATGCTGGTGGAAATAAAGAAATGTGAATCGTGTGCCGCACAAAGCCTTAGGGACAAAGCCTTAGGAACAAGAAGCTAGTAGTAACAAGTGCCACGCTAGTAGTAACAAGTGCCTTACTAGTAGGAACAAGCAGCTATTAGAAACAATACAAACTTGTCCCAACAATACAAGTTCGAGCAAGTGAGGCCGGGAGAGGCGAGGAGATAAGGATGGAGAAACCGTGATCGAACTGTAATTGATGGAATCGGAATGACTGGAATCTAGAAGCCTGTGACACAACCTTCGGATGCAGCATAAGCAACAAACCTTGCTCAAGGATCTCACTTGAAGGCAGGTTTGGGTCCAAATAGGCAAACAAGAATGGAGGCAAGAAAGTGCTGGAGAACTGTGCTCTTTTGCGCATTTGATCCGATGCAACTGGAATCTCATGATTTGCTCACCCAGCCTCAACAGCATCGATGATGCAAGCAGGGGACTTGGAATCCTGATGTCATATCCGCCTTTGGCCTAGCTTTACCTCAAATGTGTCAAGTTTATGGGAAGCCAACGTTGAATCTGTCACAGCAGTCCATGGGTCCTTCAGCGCCGAATGGATGAGATCTCGCATGGCAGGGCCTGACAGGGTCCCAGCTCCGGAAAGCTGAGAAAACCAAAAACCCTCTCCACAAAGTCCCACTGGTTCAATATTTCTGGGGTTCCAGCCACTTGGTGTAGTGAGGCTGGAGCTCTGACCGCGTGAATTCAGGGCAGAGCCAGCCACAATGGCCCTGCAAGGCTAATGAAGCCCACGAAGCTTGTGCATGTATATAGTAAAGTTGAACAAAAGAATGACTTTAAGAAGAATGTGTATACATGTATGTGTGTATATATATATATATGAGGATAGTAAAACAACTACCAGCATAGACCCCAAACAGTTTAGTCGGCAAGAATTGCTGTTGCTGTGGGTGGCCGCAGCCCGAGCCCCTGCCTTGGAAAGCATCGTAAACAGCACGACAGTAGTAGGACAACAGAAAGACCAGAGGAGGACATGAGGAGGACAACAGAGGACAAAAGGATGAGGGAAGGAAAACAACACGAACACACCAAGAGGACAAAAGAAGGACAAGCTGTGACCGGACAATGCCAAAAGAACAACAAGACAACATAAGGGGAGCACACCAAGAGGAGAACAAGAGGAGAAGGAAGAGAGGACAAGAAGACAAGACGACGACGGGAGGAGCACGACCGGAGATAGGCTGGCAGCCGCAATGAAAACCTGAAGAATGACAACCCGAAGGCAATAGAAGAACGTGAGGCAGAACCGAAAAGTTTGTGACAAGAGGCAAACGAAGACATCCGACAGGGCTCGCTGGCACAGGTTGACACTGTGGCCGGCTTCTTTTCCTACAAGAGAGCCCCACAAGAAGAGGACAACAGGAGAACAAGGAGAGGACATTCGGCTTCTCGCGTTGCTTTCTGGGGTTGTCTTGCTAGTGCCTCACCGCTTTGTAACGCAGGCTTGCATGTTGTCATGTGTACATGCTGACAGGCTGCCACGCGGCCACGCTGCCTGTGCGCAATTGTTTTCTTGCGTTGGGCCCTTTGATTGCACTTGGGGACGGTGCTGCTCGCGCGCAAGCTGTCATGGTGTCATGTCTACACTCTGCCATGCGGTCATTGTGGACACCCAGCAGATGTTCTTATCAAGTGGACAACGGGAGGACAGGAAGAGGACAACGGGAGGACAAGAAAAGGACAACAAGAGGAGAAGAAGAGGACAAGAGTGACAAGAGGAAGAAAAGACAAAGGACAAAAAAGAGGACAACAGGTCTGGAGACTGGCTAGAAGCCGCGGCCAAGCTGGTGTCAACAAAAGGACAACAGGGACAAGAAGAGATCAAGAACAGGACAAAAGGAGGACAAGAAAAGGACAACAGCACAGGAGACCGCAAAAAGAATACAACAAATGGACTGGAGACGGGCTAGCAGCCGCGCCAAGCTGGAAAAAGGACAAGAAGATGACAAGAATACGACAGGCTGTCATAGGGCTTAGCCAAGCTGGACACCAGCAGAAAGAGAACGAGAGAACAACAGGAGGACAAGGTCTTGAGACCGGCTGGCAGCCGCGGCCAAGCTGGTGTCAGCAAGAGGACAACAGGGAGTCAAGAAGAGGACAAAAAGAGGACAACAGGAGGACAACGCCGGAGCATTCACCGGGGTGGACAGAGTGTGGCCAGCTTTTTCTGTCTCTAGTAGAGAACCTCTTTTTAGACTGCTGTGTGGCCAGAGACTGTCGTTGTCTTTTTGTCCTGAGAGAGAACCTCAACAGTAAACTGTTTGGGGAAAAAACAAAACAAAGCTGATCCGAAGGTCTCCTTGCCGTTGTAAGGTCTTCCTCTTCGAGCTCATCCTCTGGGTCCTTCCGGACAATAAGGGAATCAAGTGGCAAACTGCCAAGCGCCCAAAGGACTCGTGTCTGCGTGTCGTGCCTCTGGAAAGCCAAACTCAAAGTCATCCACCTGGACCAGCTTGTGAAGCTTCACAAGCTTGACATATGTCTGAGTGCATTCAGTGTTGATGAGAGATGTGAGGTGATGGGGACATATATATATATATATTATATGCAAGTCTGAAAGTGAATGTTCCCCCTAGAGCCTTGCGGCGACCAAAGACCTCCAAGAACAAAGCAACACTGCCTGCAAGAGCGGTGGAAATCGGGAAATGGGCGCGACGGTGTTGCAGAAGAAAGATATGTGGCTGTTTGGCTTCTATCAGTGTGGCGCGAGGCAGGAGGACAGAACTGCCCAATTATAACCGCTACAATTCTAAACTGTTCATCGTTGTTGAGGAAAGTTCCCCAGGTCGCAACTCTATCGCCCTCTTTTCTCAAGCCTTCAGTCAATGCCAGGTGCAAAGAACCTTCAACTTCTTTACAAGGCTATGCCATCAAGCCTTTCGCAACCACATTTCAGGCAAGTCATAATCCTTCAGGAAAACCCACTCAGTATAGAAAACAAGTTGCTTTTGCTTCTGCTTCAAAACCATCACTATCCGTTGGGTTGTGAAAACTCTGATAAACGCACTTGCATGAACAAACATTGCTTGTTCCTCAAGAAGTGGAGCTCCTTGCGCACCCACCGCAGCTTGATGTGTCCACCATTGTCGTTCTGTCATTCAGTGCAAGTCCAGAAATCTTGAGCTAATATGCGCCTTCACCTTACTCAATGCATCTGACTGGCACATCCTTCATTACCACCAATCATGTGCTTTGTTTTCAGTCTTCACCAACATGCTGGCTGCCGGGCAGCCTTGCAAACAACAAATTATATATATATAATTGAAGAAAGCACAGCCCTGAAGCACGCCAAAAGTCACCAAACGTTTGTTTACGGGAATCACCATCTTTCATGCCAAGTTTCACTTGACAAACTGATTCATCGACTGATCGTCAGGATTTCCCAGGCTTGATCTTTCTTGCTCACCACCTTTAACTCCAAGGAAGCAAATGAAACTCAACTAAAGGCCCTAAAGGGCTACAAGCAGCGAGTGTTCTGCGGGTTGAAACGGCGCACTGGGAGCCCAACCTGCATGGGTCCACGTGTTGATCAACGTTACGACTTCGTTTGTGAACTTCAGCTTCAACCTTGAGCAATGGAGCACATATTTTGGGGCAGCAGGTGGAGGCTGCAGGAGACGGCGCAATCATATGGTTGTGTCATTTTGCCTCTCGAGTCCACAGGCCAAAATGTTGGATTGAGAGACCCTCAAAATCACTATTCCTCCAAAGGATATGAGATCTTGTGTGGGCACCCATACATTTGGTGAGCATAGCATAGTATAGCAGTGTCCAAGAGACTGTCGAGTCGAGGTCCATCAAGGAATTTGATGTCCTTGGCCTCCTGATGGAAATTGATTCCAAACTTCAGACCTTTTGAGTCTGACTTACCGATCCGTACTACTAGCTTCTTGCTCCTAGTAGCGATGCCCTTTGTTCCTAGTAGCGTCGTTGGGATTATTCGCCAGCCTGCATCGGTGCAAATTACGTCACCCGGGGCAGAGTCTGCACGAGCACACTGGTAGCCCACGCTGGCCAAGGCTTGCAGGAAGGCAGTGTCCTCCAACAGAAACTGGAAGAGACTTTGCACCTTTCTTTTCCTTTGGACCTTTCATTCAGGTCATTTATATGTATGCATTTGTGTTTCTGTTCTTTTTATGTTTTCCTTTGTTCGTCTCTCACTCTCAAACTGTCGTGTATCAGTGTATCTGAGCCCACCTTTCCGCCAGAGTCAAAGTAAGCATTGTTCTCTGCCCAAATGATTGGTCGAAAGTGACTGATCAATCCCAAGGCACCTTCCAAAACCAAAGCATAGCCATGATTGAATGAAATATCTTGGAATAGTATTCCCAGGCCAACCAGTGACAGCGACTGCAGGACCAGTGACCTTGGACAACCGCCACCTCCATGCCCTCCACATCTATCCTCAGAAAGCACAACATCTGTTTGTCCCACGACAACATGGAAGAAGAAAAATTTCTAAAGCTCACAGCTCAAATGTTCATCAGAAAATGAGCTCGGTTCTTGATCAGCCGCACATCCTTCACCAATGGAAGCGCCCAGCTTTGAGCCCTTTCACCATCCAGCAGCAAGTCGTCCAAGCGAACCACACGCACAGACTCCTGGCAACGCAAGGAGTCTATGCGTCCAGAAAAAGGATCCACACGACATGTTCTGCTATGTAAGTACATGGTGTTGTACCGAACATCCACACGACTTCAGCTTCACCAAAGAGTCACACTTCCGTTCCGGTGCTCCGGCTCTTGGGCCATGAGGTCGTACAGCTGAAAGGCCTCGTGCCTCAGAACAGCAGAAGATTGGTCCGTTGGTCCAATCTGAACCATGTTTCATGTCACACGAGAGGTCTAAGACCTTAGGAAACTTTCCCCATCGCACATGCTAACCTGTCGAAGAAAAATACAAGTATATAACGCATTTCGCATATACTATCGCATATATTTTTGCCCCTCACAATGTTCCCAATCAAGATGCTGGTGCTTGGCCTGGACCTCCTCCTGTTGTCCCTTGATCCGCACACCGCCAGGCGAGGAGAAGAAGCGTAGCTGCGGGGGGGTATAGCAGGATGCGTCTGCAGCAAAACAGAACTGCGAAGATTTGAGTCATAAGGTGCTCTTTTAGATGAAGGTCAAACCTGAAGAATGTATAAGGATGTGACAAATATCTCTTGAAAATGCTCAGCCAAGAATCTCCTCAGCCTGCCCCAAGGCGGCATTCACTGGCCATACATTTTGCAGGCCTCAGGTCTTGATGTAAAAATGGGATGGCAACATGTGAGCTCAGTTAGACCTGAAGGAGCACTTCAAGTTTTCAGGTTCAATCCTCGACAAGGTGCCGCCATTCCTGTTTGGTTGTGGCATTGGCAAAGCCTCATCACTCCCAACGATGCCTATCACGCGGTCAAGGTGCCGTTGATGGCCACATTGGCAACAACCAATTGATGGAGCCATCGGAATGGTTCAAAGGCAATCACGTGCCCCCTCGGTCCCACTGCCTCAAAGATCAAATGATTTTGACTCCTCGAAAACGACAGCACAACTTCACCGTTGCCTTGATTACGCCTCTTTCCGTCTTTCGTTCAATTATCAACGCCTCTGCCAAGGCCACTGTGTAGCAACCCAAGTTGGCACCCACATCGATAGCCACGTCCCCAGGACGCAACAGCACTTGCATTTGGTAGCTCTGCATATGATTCATGGAGCCCTGCAGGCGATGATTCTCACCACACTGTCATATGCACTTTGTCACTTAAACTTTGTCGTTTCTTTGGCGCCAGAATCAGCCTGAGAAGGATAATACGAAAGCCAGCGTGCGGGGCAGCACTCTTTTTTCGGTATTTGTGGACGAAGTGGGTAATGGGTGGGCACGCAAAAATTGGTGGAACTGCATGGATTAAATGGTAGCAATGGTAGCCAAAATGATATGTGTTGACTTGGATAGACTTGATGATGCAGGTGATGCAAGTGATTGTTGGTGAGCAAATAGAATTGATTCACAAATACTGTAGATGGATAGGCTGAATGGAACAGTTCAGCCTGTGGCTCTCTATGCGTTGGCGCTTGCATGCAAAGTAATTCCTTTTCAATTGAGTAGATGAGGGTCTATGCGGCTCCGTTTCCGGAGCCAGCATAACTGCATGCTGCATAACGGGTTGAAGTTTCAGCCTGTGATGCCCTACGCGCCATATTCTCAACGAAGTTCTTGCGCAAACGGCCGTAGGCCCTTGCTGCTTTGAAAGCTTCGTTTGCGAGTGTCTGCCGGCTGGCTTTCGTGATTTCTGGGTTGACTTCATGAGGTGAAATCCCCGACAGGCAATGAATGATGACTCCTTGCCTGATTTTTGATAGCATGTCCAATGTTCACATCGAAGAAGGGCAGCACGAAATGATGCGGAGTGCGCCGTTCCAATCGCACAAATTCAGCAGAGGTGTCCTGCGAAAGCAAGACTTCTCGAGTCTGTGGCTGAACAGCAAAAAGAACCTCTCCCCTGAAGCTCCTAGCACCGCATGCTCGGTAAGAAAGTGGATGAAAGCTACACCAGTCCTGGAATGGCTGCAAAGGAATGTCCGCGATCTTCCTGTCACATCACAGCACACCACAGCAGCTCAACACACAACTGATCCACTGTAAAAATCGAAGGTGAAAGGAATCTCTTGCTCAGCTCTTTTTCTAAGCTCGAAAATTCATACAACTCCATACACAATGGTTTCTTGGTGGACATAGGTTGGATGTTCAACGCAAGAGGACGAGGTGAAGTTCTCAAGACCTTCTGGGCCATGGTGGCGGCTGCGATGGTGGCATCTGCATGTGTGGCTCCCTGTGGTTCACCACGACCTTTTCCGAAACAACTGCGTGCTTCTGAAACATCTCCGAGAACACCAAAGGAGCGTGACACTTGGAAAAGAACAGAAGTGATAGCAAAAAAGAAGCAAAATGATACCGAGAACATCCAAGAACCAAAGGACATGAGGGTTCTCGTCTTTCCCTTTGCCTTCTTACTTGGATATATATATATATATAAGGCCAGGCCAGTAGCTAGTAACGGTGATTACTTGGACAAGACAAGAGATGAAAAAAGGCCAAAGTTACTTCCGCCCCCCTTTACTAGGGAGCCTTCTGCTCCAGGGGCCCAAGTGAACCTTCTTCTTGGTTTGTGTTTGCTGTTCTTTTCTCCTGCAAGTCCCCCCCTCTCTCTCTCCCTCTCTCTCTCTCTCACTCTCTCTCTCTCTCTCTCTCGCTCGCTCTCTCGTCCAGGGATCCAAGCAATGGTTGGATGATGTTGGCCACCCACAAAAATATCTTTCGGAACTTCAGGAGCATGGCCTTGGGCTTAAGACAAATGTCAAACTCACTTGATTTCAGCAAGCCGATGATGTATGTGCTTCAAACAATCAGATCGTCACTTGTTGGCTCTCAGATAGGTCCTTTGTATATGCCAAGCTCAGGGCCCAGCGCAAAACAAACAAGCATCGGCTGTAACCTTTCAAGACCACAGCAGCACATGGGAGTGCGTTTAACAACACATGATGCCCAAATCTGCCCCTTACAAGGTGTCCCGGCGATGCAAATTGTCCTCCTGGTAGAAGCCAGGACCATGGGAGCTCACAGCCAGCAAATATCTCCTGGGCCAAAGTGTTTTGTCAACATCAACGGCAAAGAAAAATCCAACAATCATAGAATTGGAACCTTTGCATGCTGAAGTTTTGAGGAACTTTGTGTGTGTGTGTGGGATAGCACTCCCATACCAAACTTGCAGTGCAATTGCACAGCAACATCTTGAGGACCGCACCTGCAGTTTTCCACAGTGAGGCTCGTGTTGACAGCTGCCTTGCAGCCAACATGATGCCTTCCTTACCTAAAACTGCTTTGGTGCAAAAGATACACCATACTCAGCCATACTTTAAGCTTCTTGCTCCTCTCATGCTTGCGCCCATGCAACGCTAGAAGTCTACAAGTCTGCTCATGCTGATGGATCAAAGCTCACAGAGCTGCTCACCTCAGAGATCTCTTCTGCTGCTACAAGCAGCTGCAGCTGCACTACAAGCAGCTGCAAAAGCAAGGGCGGCAAAAGAGCCATCGACTTGGCAGCAACAGAGAGCTGACAGAAACTGGAAATCCTGTGAGTAACTTTTTGGAACCCACCAAGCTTATTGGTTTACTGGGTACATTTGTAGCATGCATATTTGAAGTACTGTATATATTATACCAGCACAAATCTGCTTACTCTGAATACATTATTGAGCCAAAATGTTGCAGAGCTCATGGTGGAATGCTTAGTTCAGCAACAATGTAGACTCACCAAAACAAATGACTCAGAGTTAAAGCCTGCAAAACAAATGCACAGTTCATCCTTGACTGCTTGACTTTGCACCTTCACTCCGCATCACACCATCTGCGGATTCGTCAAAGGCCTTGTGGAAGCTTCGAACATGACAACCCTGTTTCTTGATTGAGCTCAAAAAAAGCATTGCAAGTGGAAAGTAAAACCTGCTTTTGGCACTGGAATCTACTGTCCAACTCGTAAAAGTTGGATCATGACATAGCTAAGACAGCTTTAGCTAATGCTTTTCTAGAGCTCTCCCGCTTAGCAGGGGCCACCGTAAGCGCCACCCCAAGAGCTAAAGTCAAGCGCAAAGTGCGTTGCGTCTTCAACAATGTCTCAGGACGCCGGGCACGTCCGCGGGTGGTCGTCGACAGCTGACCCATGGCCTGGCAAGTGTCTTTTCACATGCGTTTCCTTTTGTGTTTTCCTCTTTGTTTAGGGCAAACTTTTTTAAACCATAGGAAAAAAGTGGAAAATAAAGAATCCGGAGCAAATAAGTGACTGTATGTCCCTGTCAACGGTGCTTCAACAGAGTTATGTGTCTCAAGGGCTCCACAGGATGTGATACTTCGTGTGAAGTCTCATCTTGGAGGGCATCAAGCACGTAGCTGAGCTCCGTGCACAGCAAACAATCAAGGAGACAGGGTGCTGGATCTGGGCAGCAGGAAACATCTTGGCAGCTTGGGGTGTGCAATGCCTTTGCCATTCAATCATTCAACTGCTCTCCTTTGCAACAACCTCTTCATCCTCTTGGGGCCAGACCAAATGAGTGCTGCAAACGATGGCTTTGCTACAGCGATCCTTTGCAGTTCGAGGGGCTCCGTAGACCGGTGGTCAGTGACCAGTGCGTTCGGGACAATTTAATCAGTACCATCCACAGCTGATCCTTGCACAAAGCTTTGGGCAAGCGCACCGCGCACCTCACGTTGGTAGTTCAGCGCGGTATCCATGGCTGCTGCACCAGAAGACTCCTCCGTGTCAACACAAATGCTGGGCCTCAGAAGTGACAGAAAAGTACAAACAGATTAGGATCAGCGTTGGAGTTCTAGTTGGATTTGTTCAGCTAGCAGTTAGCTTTGCTCCACACCCTCTGGTCGCATAGTACCAGGCAAGCCGGTTGACATTGGCCGCATTGCTCCTTCGGCTCTCAGAAGAAGGACAGGGGCAGTCACTGGACCAGGAAGGATTCAGGAATGGGGATGGAATCAAAAGGGATATTATAAGAACTCTACTGTGGAGCCAAGTTGCATCAAGCCCTGTGCAGCTCTGCCAATGGACTTCAAATCGCCCGAAACCAGCTTATGGTACCTGCAGAAAAGTGTGCGACGTTCATAGGACAAATACACAAACTTTCACCAGGCAGATGAGGGTGCCGAGTATATCTCCCAAAAAAAAGCACGACAAGGGCTTACATGCTCTAGATCGTTCACACAACTCTCTGAACACTGAAAGTTACTAAGTGCTATGGGCGTATTTACAATACTACAGGGCACATCTCGTTGCCAGACAAGCCACAAAAGAAGCCTGAATAGGGGGGTAGGAGCAAGGACGCTACTAGGGGCTTCGCTACTAGGAGCAAAGGACGCTACTAGGGGCTCCTGGCATCGCTGCTAGTAACAAGAAGCAATTAGCTATTAGAAACAAGAATTCAATTTAAACTTAATTAGAGTAAGGCTTTGAAAGTCGATTCTACAGTGAGGCTCGATCAAAATTTAAGGATACTGGCCCTCCTACTTAGAAAGAGGTGCAAGCCTCCTCCAGCTCAAAGGAATTATCTCTGAGTGCTACACCCATGCTTTGGTTCCGCAGCTCCTCCTTGCCTGAAAGTCTTCAAGCAAATTTTATGTATATATTTGCTATAAATACATGTCGTGTATCTATATATATATTGGGGAACAGCGTGCAGTGGCCAACTCTGGAACCGCGCGAGCTTTACAAATACTGCACCCGTCATGTTAGCTGCTCACTCGCCTGCCTAAATGTACGGAGAAACAAGTAGGTCAGTTCTCAAACGCTGTTCAATCATTACTTTCAGTTTGAGTCGTGGTTCAGCCGCTTAGGACCAGGCTGAGCCCGGACTGACCGAAGCAGTCTTGCACAGACCGCAAAAGCAAGGTTTGCCGCGGGTCCTCCTGAAGCACGAAACCAGAAACAAAACGCAACAAAACAAGCTTGGCCTACAAGGCCTCCAACGTATGCACTAATTGCCTGAGGCCTGGTTGAACATTTGAGTATATAGCTGATGATGCAAGAAACCCTGTGAAACATCATAGCATTTCTTGCATCTGGATTGTCTTTGGGAGTTCCAAGCTTGTTGACTGCTTGGGTATGGACAATCCAATCAACAAGTCGTTACCAGTCAGGGACACAACGGATCGACCCCCTGCGAACATCTTCATCCAATCAATACCCTATCAAAGGCAACGACGTGGGTTTGGACTTATTTGATGCTGTGTGATAAATGCACGTTTTTTCTGCCTGGTTCTCTTTCATGTCTTGGTGAATGCAACAACCTTCTGATGAATGCTGCAATGGATGGAGCGATGAGGATATTGAGCATGCATGCATGGATGGGTGAATACATCGAGAACCCTGTGCCTACATCCATGCTTTTGACTGTACACACCACTGCGCTGAAGGTTTTGTCGCAAAGCCAAGCAAATACTGGCTGGAGGCACAAAACAAATACGCATGCACAAAGGTTCAAAGGGTGGCTCATGCCCAAAAACACCTGGTGGGGAACGGGGAAAATAGAATGATACGGGAACAAAGGTTGGAACCAATGGACCATAATGGACCATGGAAGTTCTGAAGACTCTACGACTCACATTGGTCTCCTGGCTGAGGCCGAAGGCCAAAAGCTCTGCTGAGCTCATTGTCCCTTGATCCTCCAGCACTCCCATGTGCCTAGATCTTGGCAGACCAAAAATATCCAAAAATCACGACAGTTCAACTCCAAGTGTTACACTCGTTTGTACTAAATCATGTTGAATCACCTTTTACTCCTTTACTGAATGAAAGCCTTTGGGCTTAGTTTGGTTGTTTTTGTCAGCAACAAGCTAGTGCAAGGAAGTGCATCAGCTGTGCCATGCAAAGAGCCTCGTGTACATAACGAAGTCATCCCGGTTGCCTGGGTCAGGATCGAAATACCTCAGCTGTCCGGCAAAGAAACAATTCAATTGGTCTCTCAAAGGATCTCCTCTCTACAACTTGACCCAACTTGCCACGGTGAAGAATGCTCCGCAGTCCGCGATCCGTTTTCTTTCCAACTTCCAGCACAGAGCGGTCGGCCGTGCCCTCAAGGCGCCCACGGCAGCCGGAAGCCCCCCAATGTCTACAGGTAACATGTAGGAGATTGGGCAGGATATTTCCTACCCTTTGGCCTGTGAAAGCCAGTTCTTTACTTGAGTGACTTGGTCGAACAACAGTATCACTCATATCATGTACTTCTATACTTCATATCGACCAACTGTGTGCGCACATGCGCTCGTGCCACCTGCGCCAAAGGAGTGAAACTGCCGCAACGGCAGATTGGCTCAGGACGGCCGGAGGCTACGGTCACTGAGCGCTTATGAGTTGCCGGCACAGCACAAGCGGCACAAGGTCACTGGCTGACAGCAAGGATTCAAGTGACAGATCGAGCATCGGTTGATCTGCCTCAATAGACAGCACACATACAGCCTCATGATGGACGGAATTTTGGGGCCATAGGATGCCATAGGCAGATTCTTTTGAAAGAAACCAATGTCATGGATGATGGTCATACTCCATGTGCCATCCAGGAGAATCGAATCCCATGAAGCACGCGCGCTATCGCCAGGCATGAATCATGCGTCTTGACGCCCAATATTGGCGTCAAAGCAGCTCCGGACGTATCCGGGGAAAAGGTCGAACACAGTCTCTGTGCAGCAAAAAGCCGCCTTCAGCATCGCAAGGCATAGCAGGACGCTGAAGAAAGGCTGCCGGACTGCGTTCCGCTTTCCGGAAACACCGCGGAACTGCCGTTCAAAAAACAGCAACCCATTTTTTTTGCATAGTCAATCAAACTTTGAACAGAATGCACATCTTGCCCTCAAGAGCATGTCCGTTCTTTACAGCAAATGCCTCATGTTCTTCATTTTTTCTTCTTGGTCGGCGTCTTCAGCTCCATATAGACTTGACCTTCCGCCTTCGCTTCGGAATCCGGAAGCCTGTGAATCAGCTTGAAGCCATGCCTGGAATCCAAGCAGGAAGGTTTGCCTTCGGGCCTTCGGTACAGTAAAACACCAGGAGCACCAAGGTAGTTTAACAACTTCCATGGTTGTGAGGAAATGCGTTGGCAAAGTACATGATGCCCACACACATGGCGCGCACACACACACAAAAAAAAAACTGCAAAATTCGATTGTTGGTCAGTTCTACACACAGTGGACTCAACAGCGGCGATCGTGTCTCAATGAGTTGAGCCAACAGTGAAGTTGGCAGTCTGGAGTGCGCAGTGGAGTGGGAGTGGTATCTAAATAAACACTGTGCTTGAACTGTGATCAAAGATTCAGCTCACACGCAGGGGAGCTTCGTCAGCGCCTACTCAACACAGTGTGTGACTTTGAGACTTCTTGAAATCAGTCAACGAGTCACTACACTACACTAGTTTCCTCAGTTCACTGTGCACAGTTCAGTCGACAGTTCCGCCTTCACAGTGACGCTGTTAGTGATTCCATCCACAGTGATCTTGCATTGCTTGGCAGTCACCGTGGAGTGGTCTTGCGCAGCGCGGTGACCCTTCTTCATTGGCCTCATGCTTCTTCGAGATGGACAGTGGGATCACCAAGTGACCTAGCAGTCCTCCGCAGCACAGTCCAAAAGGCGCAGCACCATTCAGCTCACGGCGAAACAATCAATCAGCTGAAGCTCAGTCGAACGGCAAGTCCCAATGCCAGTTCAGAATCAGTGAGAACTTTGATCCAACCATTGGCGGCTGAAGTAGTCTGAGCAGCATCAGCTCCATGGTGTCCAGTGAACCTTGCCGCGATGACCGTCACGCATCGCTCAGCGCGATGGCCTTTGTCCAGTACATCTGCAGCATCCGCAGCAGTGCTGAACGTGGAGTGAACTATAGGTTGGCCATTTGCAAACAAAGTGATGAGCGCAATTCCAACCTTCTAAAATCTCAGTGGCGACGCCAAGTGGCGCAGTGAACATCACAATGGCTTTCGACTGTTTTGTAGGCAATGGCAGGCCTTGAAGGTCATGTCAGGTACAGCCGGAATTTCCAGGCACAGTCCTGCCTTTCCAGCGTTCCTTCTTCATTTTGTTTTGAGTCTCCTGAGGTCCGTCTCCAAAGTCAAGCGCAGTGGCCCCCAGCAGATCTGTTCCCTGGGGCAGGACAGTCTGATCGGTTCGGCGTGAACATTGTTCTCCTTGTTTTGTTGTGAACCGTTCCTTTCGCCTAATCCAATTGCCAAGAGCCCGTGCGGCTAGTAAGGTTTTAGTCGAAGTACTTGCAGTTGGTTGATCAGCACTTGCAGTTGAAACATCCAGTGTGGTCACGCACTCTTCCAGCACACGTTCGCGTGGACCCATGACAGTTTCATCATAGGCTACAATGGGTGGCGCGAGGTACAACAGTGTGCCATGTCAAATGATTCTCGCAGTTTCTTCGCCAGGTGTCAACAGTTTCACCCTGTCTCTTCCAAGAACAATCCAGTAACCTTACAAGCGACAAACCAGACAAAAATGCAAAAATGAAATCACAGAAGTAGGAGTTCACAAACAGTGCCCAGAATGGCTGGTGGTTTTCCAATCGCGCTTCTCAGCCCAGGTGGATTCTTTCCTACGATAGAATCCAAGTGCCCCTGTGAAGGTGTAGCTGCAACACCGTTCTATTTTAGCTACGCTCAGCCAAACGCACAAAACTTCGGCACATCACGCCGTCAGAGATAGTTCACAATATTGTTAAAAAGAAAAGAAAAAAGGCTTGCGCATCTTCGCTCTTTTGCCCGATGGAGACAGCGCGTACTCTTCTGGTCTACGAAAAAATGGTCCCGTACAGTCCCGAACGCGTTGCCTTCTTGAACCCGAGCTTCGAGTCGAAACAAGACGCCTGACCGTCTCGAACTCTCAGACTGCAACGGCGTATATAAACATAAGGGGATGCAAACACTCATGACAAACTACCAGCTCATACAATTTTATATTCACATCGCGCTCTTGCAGATTAAAGAGGACACAGAAGCTTAGGCAAAGCAAGCGTCTCATATGTTTGACAAAAATATGTTCAACTTCTGCGGTTCACAAAAGATCACCCACTAGAAACGCCACGCGCCATTTAACCAAGAACTCTTGTTCACACACGTGACCTGTGGCGCGCCCACAAGGCTCGCTGTGAACATAGCAGAAATAAACTCCCATCACGCACGCGTACATGAGTTCAACCGTCATGGTGTATAGCTAGCGCGTCATGGTAATGACAAGTGTGTTCATATGATTCCGTGACATCCTGCCGTTAAGCAGTTCAAGCAATTTCAGGACGGCAACCCTTAAGGTTTCTGAATTCAACACAGCAACAGAGAAAAGATCCAGGCCTGTCCTTACGCCCCTCCATCTTCCATGACGTGTTTCTGGGCAGCCATTTGGACCCTGGGCCCCAGCCAGGTATTGATCTCCAAAAGTGGTCCCCAGACCAAGGAGCGCCCGCAGGAGAGCTGAGGTCAAAACGGCGCTGTCCGGGGCCCACAAGCCAACAAAAGGCGTCGACAAAGACAGGGCGAAATTTAAACTCCAGTACTTTGGACAGCAGACTGATATCCAGCGCAGTTCGTGGTAGTGAAAACGCCATGTCTCAAAGCCAGTCATTCCAACATTTCCAAGTACTACCAGTCTGGCACTATCAGTAGTCAGCTGAGGCTGCAAGTAACGCAGTTTCCAGTGTCTCCAGTCTCTCATCAGTGATTGGTGTTGCCAGAATCTAACTGCTCCATGACTTCAGTACTTCGTGCTTGAACAGTGACACATAGGCCTTCACAGACCAGCTCCAGTCTTCCCACTGTTCCATCGTTTGTAAGAATTGGGTTGGTAGCGGAAGCTTATTGCTTCCTCCCTGGTCAGTTCTACACAGAGTGGACTCAGCAGCTGTGATCTTGACTTGAGCCAACAGTGAAGTTGGCAGTCTGGAGTGCGCAGTGGCGTGATATCTCAACACACACAAACACAAACACAAACCCAAACGCAAACGCAAACACAAACACAGACAGACAGACAGACAGACAGCCAGACAGCCAGACAGCCAGACAGCCAGCCAGCCAGCCAGCCAGCCAGACAGACAGACAGACAGCCAGCCAGCCAGGCAGGCAGGCAGGCAGGCAGCCAGGCAGACAGACAGACAGACAGACAGAGACACAGAGAGACAGAGACACAGAGACACAGAGACAGAGACACAGAGACACAGAGAGACAGAGACACAGAGAGACAGACACACACAAAGACAGAGAGACAGAGAGACAGACAGACAGACAGACACAGACACAGACAGACACAGACAGACACACAGCAGACACACAGACACACAAACAAACAAACAAACAAACAAACAACCAAACAACCAACCAACCAACCAAACAAAACCAACCAACCAACCAACCAACCGACCAACCAACCAACCAACCAACCAACCAAACAAACAAACAAACAAACAAACAACTAAACAAACGGCCCTTATCGCAGACTGTTTGGGCAAGACGTGCGCCTCTTGTAGAACTTGATAGACCCCGGCAAGGAAGACAAGCCAATGCTGTTAATCTCAGGCAAGCGCTTTGCCTCTGCGATCAAAGTCTTCAGGAGCAAACTGCCAAAGCCCATTCGCCGGTGCTCCTGCGATCATGGCCACAAATGTCACTTCGTGGCCACTAGTTTCTGCTACGAGTACTTGGCTGGTTCCAAACCTCTTTCCAACTCAACACACCGGCAGATTGTCGCAAGCAAACCGCCAATCAAAAGAGCCTGAGGGTAACAAGACTCAAAGCAGTTCCCACTCTTCAACTCTCTGGGTCCTCAGGAACTGCCAACTGTGCAATGATTAAGGCGTTCCTCTCAGGCTTAATGCGAAACACGATGAACCCCATCATCTCAGTCTGCCTCATGAAGAGAGGAGAGGTACCAAATCGACATCCGTGACTCTAGAGCCTAGGAACGGTCTATGTTGAACTTTCTGAAATTAGTAGCTTCTTGTTACTAGTAGTAAGGCACTTGTCACTAATAGCTTCTTGCTCCTAGTAGCGATGCACTTGTTTCTAATAGCTTCTTGTTGCTTGTTTGTCGATCTTTTGGCTCTGTACAAACCGTGATGCTCGCTGCGCTGGCCAACAGCAATGTGCAGGCGCCAGCCCCCTGCCAACCACTGAGCAGTTTGACTGAACGTGTTGGTTGGCGCTCGCTAGCCCTTGTGAGTTGATGGCAAAAGAGTTTTCAAGTCCACATTGCGTTGAACGTTTTTCTCGCGTGGAGTTCGTACACAAGCAAGTCTCAAAAGGTCTGATGAAGAACTGTGTTCTTCACTAGCTTCGAAGCCAAGCAGACAGCCTACCAGCAGAGGGCTTGTCGATTTCACCTTTCTTATTCTTGGTGCAATCGAAGTGGTGTTAGACAAGGACTGAAAGTGGAACCCTGAACCCGCTCCAGGGGCAAGAGCGGAAGAAATACTCTGAAAGTCTCTCATATTCTGTTGCATTTTTCACACCGGCCAAACCCTGCCTCGCTTGGAACATCCGGCCAGCGGGTCCTCGTTAAAGATGTCGCTGCCGAGTGCAGTAACTTGCTCCAGAACTGGGCGTTTCCTTGCGAATTTCAAACAATCTCAGTCTATTTATGCGGATTTCATGAGCAATGTTATCCTCGTGCAGAAAATCCTGGGACTGAACTCCCAGCTGTACTTTCCACGTCCTGCTTCAAGAGTTTTCACAACAAATCAACAACTTTTTGCGGGGCTTCAAAGGCACCCTCAGCCTACGCTCAAGCGACACTCAGCCCAGGCACTTCTCGTCAGTTTTCTCTGCAGCGGGCTTCACATCGAGCCACAGAGATGTGACCCACTCGGCTTCTGATGCCTCTGAGCTTGGTCCGGCCTCGAACTCTGTGCTCTCAGCGTCCAAGTCGCTCTTCGTGTTCTCTTTGGACCACAAAATCGTCATGGCAAAAAGTGAGGCCACACGTTGAAACGGCCAAAATAACTTTGGGCTGCACAGCTGCAGGATTTCTTGATCGCGCAGCAAAGTCAAGGGTTGCGCCATAGCGATGTCCGCGCTTTCGCAGCCATGCCAATCATAGCTACAGAAGACATGCTCACTCTACAAGCAAATCACAAGCAAAGGAAAAGTCTCTCTGCATGTGGCAGTCTCATGGCCGAGGTCTGAACAGGTCAATGTCCCATTTCGATTTCGGGATCTGCACAATGCAGTCAAAGCCACCCAATGCCTTGTGCAAGAGTAAGCTGCAGCTGAAGGTTGAAAATCCTTCAAAGTAGCATTCACAAGAAGCGAGAGGAATGTGATACATAATATATATATATATATAGATTGATATTTGATTGAATCGGGTCGGTTTCCACAGGAGTTGTGGAAAGCCGCATCATGCAAGAAATGCAGCAAAGTAGGCACACATTTACCTGCATCTCAAGCAACTCTACCAATTAATCCACCACATAACACGAAAGAATATAGGTGTTCAATCTATACACTTAGCCCATCTCGTGTCTGTGCACCGATACATTGATGCACACTCAAGATCTCTTGAATGTCTAGGAGGCCGGACTACACCTTCCCAGCAAGAGGTGTACTCTTCGGCAGTGTGAGGCAAATAGTGTGACATCTGAGCAGGCAGCTCCAGTCTGCGTCTATTCTATCATTCTGGAAGAGGTTTGCCCCTGGAGTAATGCAAAAAGAGGTTTCCACAATCTGATGTCCAACAATCTGCCCCTCACCATGCCTCGAGGATCTTCATTGGCCTGCTCCTGGTTGCGCCGGGCACAACCAGCACAAGCACAAGCCCTCGTCCGTTGTGCCTGACGAAGGTTTGCCGTGCAAGCCGGATCCATTCTTCTGGCACATTCTCCTCAGGAGGGCAGGAAAATGAGAGGAAACATCATCTGAACACGCTGCCTATGTATACACCTGAGAAGGGAAGGGACGAAAACCAGCCTCCGGAAGAAGACATCGGTATGGGGTGAAATCGACAGCGCACCGGATCTGCTACCAAGCATGGGGAAATAGAAGGCAGAGAGTTGCAAAGACTCGCATTGAAGGTCGATATGATAGGCTCTTCATACACAAGGTCTTGGTTAAGGCGTTAAGGCCCATTCACTGTCAGCGGTTGTAGGATCGAAGCGGAGCCCCTGCGTTAGGAGATAGGCTACAGTCCGGGGGGCGAAGGTTGGGTTGAGCAGGACATTCATAAGTCGAAGGGGGGCCCTTTTCTTTTGGTTCAGGGCAATTTTTAAGTTGAAAAAAGGGCGATAAAGTAGCCACGGGAAAACCGAAGGTTGAGACGCAGAGTTTCGCGTTTGAGGCTCGATATGATAGAGCCTACATATACGCAACGCCTGGATTAACTCCCATCCACCATTACCTGTAATAGGATAGACTTCCATGCATGCAACAAGGGGTCAGGGGTGCCCTTTTTCATCCAGTTAATAGCCCTTTTGCCCCAAAAACGGTGCAACACCCAAGCAACTCAAAGGTTGCTGACTGCAACCTATTTCTTCCCCAGGAGGTCCCATATCAAGACGCAGTTGTTAAGATCAAGCCCGCAAATATCCTCCAGCTATCTCTATGAGAAGGAGAGTCTCGCCGCTTCTGTCCTCTAACCGGGCGGACACACCAGGTTGGCCTGGTGAACACCCTCAGTGTGAAGTAACATCGTTTCTTCCTTTCCCTTCTACTCTTATTCGCCACGGGAAAACCGAGGGCTGACAGACGCTGCGTCTCGTCAAAGCTCGATATGATGAAGCCGATATACACAAAACGCTTGGGTCAACTCCCAGACCCGCACAAAAGTCTTCAATAAAAAGGGGCACCCCCAAGCAACTCAAGGTTGCTAACTGCATTCTGCTTTCGTCGAGCTGACCTCTTTCCTTGCATTTCCTGTTACGCAATCTCCCCTTTCCTGTCCTCAACCCCCACCCCTGGTCACTCGACAATCTAAATGGTCTCAATCCTCCACCCAAGTCAGACAGTCTAAATACTGTAATATACTGAGCACTTCCTAATGCTAATGATGCATTGGCATCAGTTGCATCACTCGCATCACCAAGACTTCTAAAAATACATCTTACTGTTCGCTCTCCCCCACCAGGCTCTGGATTCATCCTACCCGTCCGGGCAACGGTTGCGACCACACCTCCCCCCCACACCCCCTAGCCAACCCTGACGGTCTGGAAAGTAAGGGACTTCTAGGAAGGCCATCACCCTCTCCAACTCTCCCCAGCTCTCCCCAGCTCCTGCACATCGTTGTCAACAATGGCTTTCAAACGTCCTACCAGCCAGCTCTGCAGCTCCTCAACAAGCAATCCAAGGAAGATCGTATGATAACGCATGACCAAAGCTCACTTTCATCCAGGGGCATCTGGATTCCCTGCACTGCTTGCATCGACCATGCTACCGTACAAATCAGCAAGCAAGTCTGAATTAGGGCGACGAAGGAGACAACCAATCAGAACGGTCAGGATGCCCCGGTCGACGCCAGTCCGGTGGAGGTGGCACCCGGTCAGTAGCAGACTCCTCAGTCAAATCCACACAATCTGCGGTCCTGTCGACGCGTCTCAACTGGCTGCAAAAGGTGCAGAAACGTGAAGCAAGCAAAACGCAGGCTGTACATGCTTCTCTCAAAAAGGACTTCGCGAGCATGCAACATTCAAGCAAGCTGCAACACTTCCCAGATTCCACTGAGCAAGCGACCATAGGTCCATGCTTCATCTCGGCAAAGAAGTTTACCTGGTACTAGTACCAGCCCTTCTGGAGCACAGATAAAGGGAATGCGTTTCATTCCATTGGTACTTGACAAGAGCAGGCAGCACAGAATTTAGAATCTCTCTCTTGTCAATGTATTGCTGGACTTCTCTTTGTCCGACAAAGAAAAGCACCTTCGTTTCAGAAACCCACCTCTACCAGCACGCAGGGCTCTGAGAGCTGCGGATTCAGTGAACAGCTGCAAACCTTGCAGCACAAAATCCGCTACGCCGCTATGAGTGGTCTCCAGGGTAGTAACGCTAATTCCCCAAGTCCTGTCTGGTAGCATGCAGTACGACTAAGAATGAAGTGAAGGATGACTCTTCGCCACTCGGCACTTGCTACACGATACCAACAAGCCATTTGCCCACATTCCCAGGCCTCACCGCGGAGCACAACCATGGCACCAGGTTGCAGCAAGGTACGAAAAAACCTTCCGGACGAGTTCGCGACACAGAACCGTCTGCGCTGTACTACCCAAGGGCCGGGAACGCAGTCATGGCAGTGCAGTGCAGGGAGGGCAGTGCCTGACTTTCATCCTCCGCCAACAAAGGGCATATTGCCAGCATTGCTGGTGAAGGTCCCATGAAGTAGAAGAGCTTCTGGCGAAGGCAAAGCAAAGGCAATCTGAATCAAAACGGTTCTTTTGCAGGTACATCAGGCACTATTTGGCAGGCTTTCAACAAGTGTTGACTTGAGGACTCTGGAAAGAAACCCAGCGCGCCCTTTTGCCCTCGCTATTTCACTTTGCCCTTTAAGCACAACAGTTTTTACTTTGCAGCCTGAAGTCCACGACTTCTACCCCAAACAGCCCAGGCTCAAAAAACAACTTTAGATCACAGAAGCCCGGTGCTAGCCACATGACCCAAGTCAAAGGCAGGAATAGGCCAGATCTGAAACAATGGACAACAAACTCTGCACACTGAGCTCTCATGAAGAACTGGTCACAACTTAGCCACTTGTCTTGAGTCTCAATTGTCTCACGTCATGCTTTGATCTTTGATCAAATGAACAAATCTCCACTGGCTTCAGAGAGATTTGTGGGCCCCGCCCCCACATGTAATTAGTATGCACGGCAATTTGGTGATGTTCCTTCTCAAGCGCCCGCACGTGCTCGCTTGAAGGCTGGAACTTCAGCAATATGGGAAGGCTCCAATTGCCAACAACTGAAGCTGCCAGTCCACCGCCTGACACCACTTTGTCAACCGTCAGAAACACTCAACAAACAACGGCCTAACTGACTGAATCATCTGTGTACAGGACAACTCATAAGAAACTCTCCATGCTGGTTATAAAGTTGACTAGAGCACAACGTTGTTCTTTAGCCTTTCTGGTCTTTGTAGTTTGCGCTCTGAGACATACACAACTAAGGATTGCGCTGGTATTGATCTTCTGCTTCACGGGCACCACGATGCATATCCTCTTCAAGAGCAGTGAGGCTGCTCAGGAATTGGCCTCAAAGGACAAGACCGGGATGGTGGGCCTTTTGCGGCTCAATCTCAGCCTTTAAACCACGCAGCTAAACCTATGAAGACCTTTCTGTTTATCACTTCTAGACTCTAGGCTCTTGACTTTTTGCGTTCGAAGGGCTGGGCACTGCTTTGCGAATCGAGGACCGGTTGGCCTCGCCCATGCCGGAGCTCAGAGTCATCAAGTCATGATAGCGCTGTCTGAGTGGCGCAAAACGGCCGGAAGCAAAGGCTGACAATAATATTCAAACATTTGGTCTGCCGACCTTCGAATTTTGAGGTCAATATCGAAGAAAACAAGGCATCGCTCAATAACGTTCAAGCTATTTCACACATGCAGCCGCTGCATTGAAAAGCTTTTGCAGGTAATCTTGAAATAATACTGATGAAGGTGAGTCTGCTGCTTGTGAGATACGGAACTCGCTGTGTAAGCTGGACATTCTCTTTGGGGTTTGCTCACTCCCCTGTCACGTGATCCGATTGGGAAAATTTCCTTCAACTTGCAGAGACAAATTGAGGAAAGCAAGTGAAAGCACAAATCATACCTGCAATCAGGTCACATGTAGGCATTCACCAGAATCTCTTGAAGCTTAAAGTTCTTTGTCAAATATGCCAGTTTGAGGCCAACTTCAAAGTAGTAGCGGCTTTTTTCACCTGCAAGATATTAGTGATCCATCAGGACATGTGTATGTATGAAGGAAACATGTCAAAAAGCAAAGCTGCATGAATGAAGTTACTGCACCCCTTAAAAATATGTCGAACCTAGGCGGCAAACAGCTGGATCCGTCTGCAAAGTCTCTTGGGTCGCTTCATCAAAGATGACCTGCAAAGTCTCTTTCCGAATCGATCTGAATCGGTCCACAAGCATCCGTCTGCAAGTGTACCACCAAGAGTACACAGTTTGCCAATTTGTTTCCCTGTCAAAACACCCAGGCTGCATCAGTCATCGAGCGCTAAATTTCACCAGGTCACCGGCAGGTCCAGCTCGACAGCGTTGCGACGAACTAACTTCTGTGCCAACCAATAGGGCACCACCACCTGTACAGACGAATCCCCAAAAAATCCCGTCCATTTGTGTTTTTTTTGTTTTGGCCCACGACTTCCCCTGCCTCCCTCCTTAATTGAGAAGGCGCCTACTTATATAAAGAAGTAAGGGAGCTATAGAAAGCTACTACCTACAGGACGCAGGATAGCTCACTCTTTTATTCATTGTGTCCCTAATTTTTTAGGGAATAAAAACAAGTGTTGGGCATGCTGTTATCCTGGCCTTGGCGCCTTCCTTCAGGTCTCGCGGTTTCGCTGCACCAGTGCAGGGATACCTTGGCAGGAACCAAACAGGCTATCTGAACCGAAGTTCTGTCACATCCATAGGCCACCGCTAGGCCGGGTTCTCGTTGTTGGCACTCCACTTGACTCACTTGACTTGCTTGCAACTTCAGATTTTCTCGCTTTGCACACCTGTGTCAAAACTGTTTCTCGCTATAAAGTTATTTTGTAGTTCGTGTCTTAGTGCGTATGTTCTGATCAAAAGTGCGATCTTTAATATCGGTTTGCAGGTATGCTAGCATCTACTAGCCTAGCAAATTGTTGAGGTGGCAATAATGGTCATCTGGTACCAATGTCCTTCCAAAGTCCTCCCGACACTCGTCGTCTGACCCATGAATTGTCTACTTTTAGATCTTTCTAGACCTTTCCGCCTGTAGACACACCAACAATATTGTGCTGCCAGATTGCAAGAAGCCACCACCTGCTACATCGTGAAAAGTCTTTATGACCACATCTTGCTCTTCTGCAAGTATCTCCTGGCCATGGCAAACAAAAAGGAAACTACAGTCAGGAAGGTGAACCGTCAATTCTGTTGGCTAACAATATAACCTCTGTTGAATCTGCTTGAGAGGCAAGTGGCGTCTATGTCCCAGTAGTCCGCACACGGCATCGCGGCAGGGAGTCAGCAATGGGGTGTCAATTCTTGATTTGTACAGTTGCTTGCCCCAAGTTCTCTGATGAGATCCCAATGGTCGCTTGAACAGGTGGGTGTATTCTTGACACAAATGATTCTATATATACCAGTATAGTCGTCTGAAGATTTGACGTATATAGTCGTTTGCCGGCAGTACGTAGAGATCATCGCAAGTCTACACACACACATGAGATCGCATGAGCCACATTGCACAAAACATTCCGTTCCATGGAAGCTGCAGCGTGCGTGCAGTGCTGCAGTACTGCAATGCGTAAGAAGATATTGTGTGTCATTATCATTGTCCAAAGGCGGGGAAGCACCAGCTTCTTCCGCATGAAGAGACTCAGGTAGTAGTTTGCCACTTCTGGGTCTGCCAGCAAAGGGTTCGGCTCGTCCTTCAGACGTGCATCTTCAAATGAGCCGCAACGTGCATCTTCAGGCGAAGCTTCTTAAGACCGGTCCGAGCTTTTAGAGAGCTTTGCGTTGCATTTTCATAACCAGTCTCCTCTAAACCTCGGGAGATGTGTACAGTCCCAGGCATATGCCCGTGTAGCCGTAGTCCCGAGAAGGCCTCAAGAACACTGCTCATTCACAAGCAGCCTAAGGTAGTGTCCACGGAGCAAATTCAAGTCTTCGAATGTGTGTAGTGCACTACATTCAACGTTGCACCTTTGAGCGGCTACAAAAAAAGATCAAACTGATCTGACCTGTATCTCACGCAAACCCTGATAAGCTAAGGCTGCTGGCCACAGAACATTGAGCCAAGTCAGTCCCCAGCTCAATGATGTGCTGCTCTACTTGCTGCAAAGCCTCCCGCCAGTACCGCACGCCCCCAACGAATCACTTGCACAAGCTTAGAAGACATGCAGTTGGACAAGTTGTCACACAAGGACAAGTTTTGTTGGCCAAAGCTAAGTACAGAATTCAGAATGCAAATGTTTCGGAACGGGTTTAACGGCTACTGTCACAGCTCCTCAAGCCTTTCCTTCAAATGTGTGTACAAGCAGCGTGGTATGTCGGGTGGTGATGTTGCGTGTTCTGGCATAAAAAGGACTTGAGGGGGAGAGGGTGGACGCAAGGTAGGTCAACAAGTTCGCCGTTAAAAGAGGTGGATCGAATAAACAAGAGAGAGAGAGAGAGGAGAGAGAGGAGGGAGAGATAGAGAGAGAGAGAGAGAAAAAAAAAGAAATAAAAAAAAGGAGAGAGAGAGAGAGAGACAGAGACAGAGAAAAAGAGAGAGAGAAGAGAAAGAGAAAGAGAAAGAGCAAGAGCAAGAGCAAGAGGAAGAGGAAGAGAAAGAGAAAGAGAAAAAGGAAGAGGAAGAGGAAGAGAAAAGCAGCAGCAGCAGCAGCAGCAAAGCAGTAGCAGCAAAGAAGCAGCAGCA